AGGCTATAGCAATATTCTGCGAAGGTTCTCTCTTTCTTGTTGTATGCATTGTGTGTAAGACTATTTAAAATATTTATTAAAAGCACAATCCTATATACTGTACATCTATATAGAAAAGGCCCTGCAATTCCTTTCATGTGCTTTGCACTGTGAAAATTTAAAATACTTTATTTAGAACTGCCAGTTTCTGCTATGACTCACCCTGGCCACCATAACTTGATGTGCAATAAAAGTTAATTGCTGGGCATCTTTAGAGAGAGGTGACTAAATTGTTATAATTCACACAATAATTGTAACAATCACATAATAATCTGAAACTAGTCATAAATGTATACATCATTTTTCAATCCAGATTCTGAAGACAGTGGGCAAGAGTACAACAGAATAAAAACATAACAAATCCAGTTAATTTATTTAACAAACCAAGTAAAATATCTATAGAAATGTCCATAATATGAAGGCAAGATTTAAATCCTTGGCAGTCTTTGTCCCAAAGGAAATCTTTCATGGCTGTCCAAAAGGGACAAATAGGATGAACTGGGAAATTCATTTTGAAAGAGAATGCTGCATACTCGGAACTATTTCACCCGCAACGCCAGATTTCCTATTTACAGGGCCCTATGAAGTTTGAAAATGCATTTGTGGGTATTGATTTGCTTTTATTAATGACTTCTTAATATGTTTTATGTGTGAATATATGCTGCAAATCACTGTGGTTTACACAACACAACATGCCATTGTAGGCAACAAGCTGACAGGTTGTAAGAACTCAGGCTGACTCCCCCAGGGTGACTTTGTCAAAGGGCAACAAGCCACCCTGACAACCCAGGGATTGTTTTCGGGTTTGTGGTACCCACACTGGGTTGTTGTGTCATCCAGACCCAGGCAGCTGACCCCATTGTGAGTACAGGGAAGTGACAAGCAAGACACGTTGCAAGAACAGCGACAACTCCTTGCTGCTTTGCCAAACTGGTCTGGGCCACTGGAGTGGCACAGTGGTGTGACCATTGCTAGTTTGGTGCCCCTCCTGCTGGCTATGAGCTCTTTCGCATTTGCTGTGGCTTTTTTCATCTCATCCCCGTTTTTGGAAATATTTTTTCTTGATCACCAAGTGACACCTCTCCCCTGCACCCAAGTAGCACATGGGAATTGCTGCCACCTCTTTGCTTAAATATGCCCCAAATGTGCACAAATATTTCTGTATTGTTTTAAAAAATTAGACAGGCTTGCACAAATGCAGAGTTGCACATTACCATGGGTCAGAAATGGGAAGCCGTCCTGGCCAATTCCCTGAGAAGTGTCTGCTATTAACCATGTGCATTAGCTCAGAGAGGCTGAAGACAAGCTTCTTTTCAACTTTCCTTTTTCCTGACAGCTTTCGAAAGGGAAGCAATTGAAAGAAAGCAAAGCCATGAGCCAGGCCCCTTTCCAGAAAGAGCCTCAATATTTGGGCAAGGGGAGAATCAGCCTGTATATGGATGGGCCCCCCAAAACCTTGATTAGCCCCATCAAAAAGCATGTTTTAAAAGGAAGCCTGAACTTTGACTGTTGTGTCATGAGAATCCACCCAATCTTTCAGTGAGTAGGCTTGCAAGTTAAAAAATACACATTTTTATCAGATCAATGATGATTGAATTGATCTGATGATCTGTTGAATTTCACTGAGAATGTATGAAAATCCCCTGATTGTTGTTGTTGCTGCTGCTGCTGCTACTCGACATATCAAAGTCTATCAAAATACTTTTAGCTTCCCTTGAAATTTCCCGTGTGTTTTCCCCATGGGTGAACCAGCTTTGGCATTCACTTTAGGCAACCCCATTTCCCCGCTTTATGTGCTGTCTCTTTTAAATTGTACGCTCATGGGCAAAGAATTTCTGCTTACTGATCTTTGTAAGCCGTACTTAGAGGCTGTTTTAGCAAAGGAGTGGGGTGCACATACCTTAACTAAATCCAGGTAGTTTCAACCAATAGAAGTGTAGAACTTTCCAAATGAGTTTAAGTAGACTTACTGAATTTTTCAGCTTTTTGTACAAGACTGAAAAAATAGCATAGCCCTCTGTCTATAGAAAAAGGACTGTACAAATCTAATACTGGTGTTAAATGTACTCCTCAGTCCCTTCAAATGGGATCAGGTATACTGTATGCAAATGTATCAGGTTTCACCTGCAGAGGAATCCCTAAATTCAGTAGTTCTCAAACATTTTCCATTCTATGAGCCAGCTGGAAATTGCCAGGCAGACCACTGAATAAATTTGTGGTTCTTAGTTAAAGCACATATACGTAGTCTTTAAATGGCATTTTTTTCCTTCACTGTTGGCATCATCACCACTACTCCAAGTGTGTATTGTTAGCTTCTTTGCCCCTGGTTAAAATGGCCTTGATTTCCATTATCAGAAAAAAAATGTCATATGAAATGTAACCTTTCCATAGTTTACCTGAATGAAGTTCATGGGCCACTAGGGAGGGCTACATTTGAGAAAACTTCTTCCCAAATTCACTCTTAATTAATTTATTTAAAACATTTCTATGCCGCCCCCATCGCAACAAAGCCTCGAGGCGGCTCACAAATTTAGCTTTTAGATGATGTATCAGGAGTAATGCTAATTTTAATCTTTAGGTCTTTTGGAGTAAAAGTTTTAAGGAGGTTTGAGGAACTTCTGAGCTTCTGTTTCTGAAGATGTTTAAATGCAACTGAGCCAAGTCCCAGTTTGCTTCTTGTCACATCCCAGTATGTCAATCTTTTCCTTCTTTATCTTTGTCCATGTCTGTAACTGGTTTGTCTCCCTTACCCTGTTAATCACTTTAAGTGCTAGACAAATGGCATGTGAATTTGTAATAGCCTTAATTCATTTCCATTATTTCTCTTTCTAGTAGTATGTAGTGTGAGGTTTCTTGGAAGAAGATAAACCGTTTCTGCTTGGATTTAAATAGGTGTTTTACCTACTTAAATTATTACCTTATGTTCACTTTTCTTTGCCCACTTATTCCAAGAATAATTTAAAAGGCTACTTTAGAGCCAATAGAGAAGTTTGTACTACTTTTGTAATGTCGTGAAGAAGGGGAGAAAAAGCCAAAGTACGAATAATTACGGCAACCCTCCATTGACAGAAAAAATGACTGTACCAATTCAGTACCAAAAAGCCAGGAGCCAAATGGCATCCTTTTGATCCTTGCTCATCTCTCGTCAACTCAAGGCTGTGGCTTCCTCCACAGAATCAATCCATCTTGTAGTTGGTCTTCCTCTTTTTGTTTTGCCTTCAACTTTCCCTAGCATGATTGTCTTCTCCAGTAAGTCTAGCCAGGATGTGTAGAGGCTGATTATGAGTGACAACCTGGTTCTGAGATCCCACTCTATATTTGGTTGCCTTCCTTTTATCCAGCCAAGTCCCCAAGAACCATTAAGAACACATGAAGCTGCCTTGAACTAATTCAATACCTTGGTTTGTCTAGCCCGGTATTTATTGATTTATTTATCAAAGATTTTTATATACTGCTCTCTCAGCACATTGCTCTCAGAATGCTTTGCAAATGGTGATTTCACCACTGACTGGTAGTAGTTCTCCAGGATTTCAGGGAGGACCATTTCCAGCCCTGCCTGAAGAAGCTGAGAATTGAACTGGAGCCTTCTGTGCACAAAGCATATGCCCTATTGCTAATCTAGGGACCTGTCCCTCTGACTTCCCTGTTCTACTGCTCCTTAAACCCAAGGCATTAAAAAAGAGGTCTAGATGAAGTACAGCCTTTGGATATCTTGAAGGTGCTTCTGTAGCATCATCCTTCGTCACATCCCCATCATGAGGGCATAATTATCTGCTAGGTTTCTAGAAGTGATTGAGATAGTGATTGTTATTACACGCTCACAAATAGGAAAAATGATGGAGAAAAAACCTGAACCATCTGTAGAGTTGAAAGCTTCTGTAGTGAGTCACTGAGCAATGAGACAGCAATCTGAGCAATTGCAGTACGAAGCTGAAAAGGTCACATGCATGGTTTTTGGGAACAAGGTTATAATTCATTCATTAAAAATTTATTGGGAGTGTATTTTAGGCTGAGATCACAGTGGGAGATTTTGCTCTTTGTTTTCCCTGTGCAGTGATTGTCAAGCAATATATATATTGCTAGGTTTACAGGAAATTGCCCCTATATGCCTCTAACACTCAACTTTTAAGTAGTAATCAAAGTCATCTTTAAAACAAACATGAAATTTTAGTATGAGGACTCTTGAAAGATTCTCGTGGCATTAGCATGTAACACTAAGCCAGGAATCTTGACTTAATAAACCATTGTGTGAATGAACAACATGCTGTGGCATGAAATTTCAGATCCTTCTGGTTTGGTCCTCTCTTCATTTGAGCAGGTAAAAAAAAATCAGGGGGAGGATAGCTTCCTAGGACTTTACAACTTGGGATTCTGGTTAAATGTACCCAAACAAATCAGGATTTGTAAGCGAACAAGAAACATTGGTTTAAAACTGCCTTATGATACTGAGTTAATTTGGAACATTTAACCATAATTCTGGATCTGGATATCACAAAGGCATCCCCTTCCTTATCAGCATTGTGTGTAGAGATAAGCTGAGAGGGAGTGACTGGGCTGCATTTATAACACATCATGGCTGATTAAGCCAGGATTCCTGGCTTACCGTTACATATGAATGTTCCTTACTCAGGGACTATATTTTCAGTTCAGACCTCCCATATTCTTCATTTTCTTAATTGGTGTATACGGCGGTAACATAGTCTACTAATGACACCTCCCAGTCCATGCTTATTCAGAAATAAGTCCCATTGTGCCAACACAGAGGTCTGGCCTGTTCCAGGGCAGAATATTTGTCCAGCTAGCTCAGCGGTCTTTGCTTTGATGAACAGCAGTTCTTCGGGATCAGAGGCATTTTACTTTTTAATGGGCACTTCCATGACTCAAATCTATATATACAATTCCAGATCAGAAACGGATGGTGGGCACTCATCCTGCTGCTGTTCTTTGAATTGCAGGTATTTATGAGCCGCCATTTCTTATACTACTGCAGTGAACCTACCCTGGATGTGAAGATTGCCTTTTGTCAGGTGTGTGTTCCTTACAGGTAAAACAAGGTACAGTATATACTTGTACTTCCATATTTAGTGGCCAGAATGATAGTTGATTGAACTGTAGCCATAAATTACAGCACTAACTGAATGCAAGAGTCTTCTGCATGAAATTGTAAGAAACCATATGAGTATGTTTTGTGCAGGTTGCACACATGTGCACGGAAACACACCCCTTGCAGAAAGAGTGCAGAGTGTGCTTTTGAGTGTGCAGCTCTATACTATAGCTCTCCTGTGCTGAAGAACCACTGGGTGAAGAGCCAATTCCCCCAGCTGGGTCCAACCAGACTTTCAGGTGTAGAACTCTCTCAACCCTGCCCATAGACTGTGCTGGTTGAGGCTGATGGGGTTTGTAGTCCAGAGCATCTGAAAGGACTATTGCTGAGGGAGACTGGTCTATAAGCTATGGCAGGAGAACAACACACCATGGACAGAACGGCTGTAACCGAGTGGTATTATGGGAAGAAGGAGGGGCCTCTTTGGCAAATGCCCTCATTGCCCCTCAACAGAATGGGAGCATCCCAAATGTGGAAGGGTTGGCTTATCATCTTTTAGGTCATTGGCATAATTAGGGACCTGTTTTGGGAAGACAGTCTGTTGGATTCCCCGGCTTCAGCTCTCTGGGCTCCAGCCTGCTTGCAGTAGCCCAGGGTCCGAGTTCCTGGGGAGCGCACCCAGAATTCACAGGGCGCTCGCCAGGATGCAAGCGCCACATGCTGCGCCAGTTGCAGAGAGTGGGGAAGAATTTCGCTGCAGGAAAGCACCCTTGTTGTGTCCCTTTCCTGCATGTCCCACCAGCGCCGCCAGCTGCAGTGAGCAGGGAAGAAGGTGTGGCCAGATGCTGCAGCCTTCCCTGGTGGAAGGCCTTCCAGATGCGCAAGACCAGGAGTGGCTAACCCAATGCTTTGCAGCCACTTGTGGTTCTCAGGGTTTATTTTGTGGCTCGCCGTCTGCTGCTGCAGGCACCCGGAGGCGCCCACTCGCCGCACACCACCTGCTGCCACCTCCCACGGGCTCCCACTTTATTTATTTATTTATTTGAAACTTTTCCATACCGTCTCTTCACAGATGGTTTACAACAGATTAATAAAATAGAAATACTATTTTATTTGTCGTTATTTGTTTTTCGGCGCCAGGCCAAGACCTTTTTATTCAGACAGTATTTTAATGTTTAATATTTACAGATTTTAATTGTGCAGCCAGTGTGTTTCTGGGTTTTAATTGCAATTGTTATTATGTTGTGCTTATTTTTGTAAGCCATCCCGAGGCTGTGTAGCAAGGGGACGGCATATAAAAACTTTAAATAAATACATAAATATGAGTAGCAATTGCACAGCATCCAATGTTAAATATAAAACCACCAATTAAAACAGGTTAACAATTAAAATATTGGGAGAATAAAAAGGTTTTCGCCTGACGCAGAAAGGAAAGAAGCGTTAGCGCCAGGCGAACCTCTCTGGGGAGTGTGTTCCACAATCCTGGTGCCGCCGCAGAGAAGGCCCTCCTGATCACCCTCCTGATCTCATTCAAGGAAGACTCCTGGACGAGGGCCTCTGACTCAGACCTCAAGGGGTGGGAGGGCACACAGGGGAGAAGGCACTCCTTCAGGTATCCAGGACCCAAGCCGTTTATCCAGGTCTTTCCACTGCTGCCCGTGGGCACCTGCTTGCGGCTCTCAAATGCCTGACATTTACCGTATGTGGCTCTTCCATTGAGCGTGTCTGGCACGAGCAGTTATAAATGCACAGAAATAATCATCTTCAGCACAGAATGCTGCAAAATGGAAACTGAGTTTGCTGACTGGCCTCTGTGTAGAAGCCATAACACGGAGCAGCAAGTCTTTGGAGTTAATTGCCCTTGAGAACAGAAGTTAAACTCTGGTGCCCGAATGAAATTTGGTAAGCTAAGCAGTTAAGGAAAGTGGATGAAGTTGTTCAAGTTAGTCTGTGAGTGTGTACGTGTTTAGCACAGCGGCAATTTATTTATGAAGAGTCTTTTCCATTATCCAGGTGAAAATGGGGTTTGCTGTTTGTCTTTAGATGTGCTGAAGAGAGTCAGACCTTTCAATCTCATTGTCAATTTTTATAGTTTGATGCAAAGCCAGTAAATGTCGCTTTTGCAGAAATATCCTGAAAGCAGTGCTGAATCTGGAGATATGGCACTAATCTAATACAAGTTTATGACTACACCTAGTACAGGGGAGAGAAATGTATTTAGTTTAGGACAAGATGGGGGTGGTTCTCAAAGCAGGATGAAAGGCTGTGGGCTAAAGTTATTAACTTTTGCAATATAACTGCAATTCTTAGAGATGTGATACATGATTAACAATCATCCCACATTACTTCATTCTCATATGATGCCTGCTGCAGTAGGTAGAATCTATGAGATACAGATTAAAATTCCGTCTTATCTCAAAATATTGTTTGGCAGCTTTGAGCCAGTCAACATTCCACGTTGTTATGCTGTTGCACTTTTGTGCAGATGGAAGAAACAGATGGATACGAGAGCAGAGTGGTGTAGTGGTTACACTGCTGGTCTGACATTTGGGAGATCCGAGTTGTAGTCCCCACTCAGCCGTGATGCCCACTGGGTGACTTTGGGCCAGTCATTCAATCTCAGCCCAATCCACCTCACAGGGTTGTTGGAAGTATAAAAGAGGAAAGAAGAAGGTTATATAAGTGGCCTTGGGTTCCTTGTGAGAGGAAGAAATGCAATATATAAATGTAATAATAATTTTAAAATACACATCTTTATTTGCCTTAACAGCCAATCCAAATATTCAGCAAATGGCATAGTTCTCCCTGCTGTTTACTTTTTCCTAGGTACATATTGGGACTATACTTGTAATGTTCAGCCTGCATTAAGGTCTTCCTATCTGAGAACTGTTGTGCATTCATGAGTCCCTCACTCCCAGTATTTTGCAGATGCTTTCCATGACATGCTTTCCAAGAATTTCTGTTGCTTTTTTTAGATGAGGGAGTCTGGTATTAACTGGAAATTGCCCTATAAGAAGCTTAAGTATTTTCTCAGTTTTGCTACTCTGCAGTGCCTCCTTGTGGTTGTGCAGTGGAACATACAGTAAGGCAGAGAAAGCAGTAGGGTGGGGGGTCTTAATTCCACAAAGGATCCAGAAGCAGAAGTGTCGGAAAGGTGATGAGTTAAAAGCCTCATGTAGAGAAGCTCTAGGATTCTTTGAAATGTACCATATTGGAAGAAGGCTGAATTGCAGATAACTTACCTGACTTGCTACCTGTGCACTTAAAGGAAAGTATACCACGAGCCATTAATGTACCTCTCAGACCTTAGTCGGGTGTCTTCTTTCTGCCTCACTTGGGATCCCAGGGCTGGTGAAGGAATTCTCCATGCCATGGGCAACAGTTCTATGAACTGGGACTAGTGAAAGTTCAAGTTGAGTTTTGCAATGTTTGATTGGAAGAAACCCACTGAAGAATTTTGTGGGAAGTGGAAGGGACTTCAGACACATTCCCATGTAAGATTATTACAGTGTAGCTCATTTACGTTCTTTTCACCACGCATTGCCTCTTTTCCACTGTAAGCAGACATGAGAATGCTTGTCTCCATTCCCTGGCGTGTGCCTCTAACCACGAGCTATCTAACTAAAGAAAGACCTTTGAAGCCTAAGCTTTCTCTGCATCCTCCATTAAGAACTTTAAGTCTCACATAATGTTGTACATCATTCATGTAAAATGAATTAACGTACCAGGACTCTTCCATGTTCACACTAGATCGTTCATCTTTTGTCTTCTGCTTCCATTCCATCAACATCAGCATTAATGGCTATTGAAATGACCAAAGTGATTGCCTGCATTAATTGTCCAGAGGACTGTGGTAATACGGGTTTGGTTTCTTTTTCTAATTCAAAAAATTGAATCTAACATCTGTTGATTAAAATATAAGCTGCTGTCTGACATGCAGCTGAAGATAAAATTCTGAGCACTTATTGGAGGAATTATTGGGGTACAAATTAATTTCAAAAGGCCTCCTTGAGTGGAAGAATGATATGAGTCCACCTCGGCATGGTGGTTGTGAGGAGGGAGATAATGTAGATTATGTTGCAAACTATGTAATAAAAATGCTCAACTAACAAAACCTTCATTGACTGCAACTCTCTAACATATCAGTTCAGAGTAGACAGCAAGCAGCCTTAAAGGGGCAAGCGTCCCTCTAATTTCAGGTGACCCTCAGCTGAGCCTATACGCAGATGTCCCCTGCAAGTGGACATTTCAGACCTCTGCAAAACCTATTTGTCTTTTCCCTGGCAATCCAAAAGGCAGGGGGAGAAGGAGAGAGATGGGGGTGATAGAAAGAGAGAGAAAGAAAAGGAGGTAAGCATCCTCCAGCTTGTTTGGTCTCACCCAAATGGCCCCTGATGGAATGAGGTTTTGTAGCTGCCAACAGATGAAAATCTGCTCACCATCCGTGATGTGAAAGGGCAGCATTTCCCTCTTTCTCCCTTTCCTTCCTTCTGTAAATGCACCAGGGTGGCACAGCAATTAGGATGAGACTGGGGGGCAGGAGGTCCAGGTGCTTTTCCCACTTGGCCATGGGGCTCAGCAGGTGACTTTGGGTCAGTTACTCACGCAAAGCCCAACTGGCCTCGCAGGAGCTATGGCAGCTGCCTTGGGGTTCCCCGCAAGAGGAAAAAGGATGGATATAAATGCAATGGAAGGACAAAAACTTGCCACTTATGGTCCACTTTTATATGGCCTCGTGGTAAATCGGCAGCATTCCAAAGCACAACTGCCCCATGACAACTTCAACATCCTGTGGCTCAGAGATCAGGGAGGAGGGGTCCTGATCACAAATTCTTTCTTTCATACTCCCCCCCGACAAAATGATAAGGTGCCTTGTGCCACAGCCTTATATACATGACTACTCAGAAGTAAATCACACGGGGCAGAATCCGGGGGGGGGGCACTTACAGTGGAGGGGAATTGTCCTTACAGAAGGGAGGGCTA